TTGTATATCTTCAAATTCCATACAAACATTCAAGTGCATTTTCCTTAATCCACAGTGATGTGTGGGGTCCTTAAATGATAAAAAATGTTTCGGACACTCAATGGTGTGACATTTATTGATGATCATACAGGGGTAAATTGAGTTTTCCTTATGAAAGAAAAGTTTGAGGTTGGGTAAATTTTACAAACCTTCAATCTTATCATCCAAAATCAATTCAACTCTAGAATTCAAGTCAGACAATGCTAAGGAATACTTCACTAGTAGTCTTAATGCCTACCTTCAAAACCATGGGATTATCCACATAAGTTCTTATGTTGACACCCCTCAACAAAATGGAGTGGTTGAGCGCAAGAATAGATATCTCTTGGAGGTTACCTGGCATCTTATGTTTTCCTCTAATATTCCAAATTACTTCTGGGGAGAAACCAATCTCACAGCTACCTATTTGATCAATTATATACCATCTAGAGTCCTTAACTTTCAATCTCCATGTCAACTTCCAAGAAAATTTTCCTCACCCGTACAGCTTTGTCTGATTTACCACTGAAGGTATTTGGTTGCACAATATTTGTTCATATGTATCCTTAACACCATGCAAATTTGATCCTAGAGCGAATAAGTGTATTTTTTTAGGATACTCTCCAACTCAAAAAGGGTACAAATATTATTCTCCAACCAACAAAAGATTTTACACCATAATGGATGTCTCTTTCTTTGAGCATATGTCCTATCCCATATCTCATCTTCAGTGGAAGAGCATGAATGATCATCAAATTTTGGAGTCTTTTCTCAAGTCTTCCTTTACCCGCTCAAAGTCATCAAGTTCTTTTAAATATGTGCTTGTGACCAAAGACCATACACAAGATTTGTCAACACCCATGCATGTTCAGTCATCAGTCCATCCCGCAAATGTTTCTTCTCCCTTGCCAATTCAATCTATAGCTCCACAACTTGCTAATGAGGATTTTCAAGTCTACATCAGAAGGAGAAAACATGAGCTAGAACACGGATCACGGCAAGCATGCAACCAAGATATTGACTCAATGTCAAGTCCACCAAAAGAAAACATAGGTACGAAAAAGGCTGGAGATATGACTCTACCATGCTAATTGCATTGGGGAAGGGTGTTAGGAGATGTACAAGTCATCCAATTGGGAATTATGTTACTAATGAAGGGTTGTTACCATCTTGCAAAGCATTTGCTATTTTTTTTTATGATTTCCAGATTCCTAGCATAATACAAGAGGTAGGAAACATCATTGATGGACGATGAACTTATGGGTATTGTTCTTTTTATCTGGGATAATCTTGATATCGAGAGCAGTAAGAAGCAATCAGTGATAGCCAAAAGCTGAGTACAGAGCTTTGGCTCGGGAAATTTGTGAAGGGAGTTGGATAAAAAGGGTATTTATTGAACATGGACAAATAAGTTCATCTCCTATTTTGTTGATATGTAATAATCAGGCAGCTATCAACATAGCTAAGAATCTCATGCATCATGATTCATGACAGGATTAAGCACGTAAAAATTGATAAACACTTTATCAAAGAGAAGGTGACTAGTGAGATTGTTAAATTTAAATACAAATTGCAGACATCCTTACCAAAGCTCTACCTAGATCTAACCTTGAAGACTTAATTTGCAAACTTGGATTATATGATATATATTCTCTAACTTGATGGGAAGTGTTGAATATTTGAAAGTCAAAATTAGATAATTTATTTTAGAAAAGTTTTTTCAAGAATAAAAGGAGAGATCAATTGTGATCCTCTCCTATGATTCTGTTTCCTAATGTTAGGAAATAATCATTCTCCAGTGATTCTATTTTCTAAATTTAAGGAGAGAATTAAGCTTAGTTAATTATATCCTTTATTAGATACTCTTTTAGTATATATATGTTGATGTAGTATCTTTTTGAACACGAAGAATAATCAAATAAGAAATTCTTAAGTACTCAACTCTAAATCAACTTAAATCTTGTCAGGGAATCGATGTCTTCTCGGAAGGCCCAACAAGTGAGCTTTAAGTTGCACCTTCTCAAAAGATTAGTTATGTAGACCAACCTTAAGCTTTTGCTCATGATGATCATTATGTTATTAAGGACATTGACATTCTAGAATTTCTATATGTTGGCTCTAAAATCAGCAATTCTAGCACATAAAGGGTACTTGACAAAAAGTTTCAAATTCTATATGCCAGGAGAAAAGAAAAGTAAGAAAATATACCATTACTCTCCAACATATACAAGACATTTTAAAGAAGAGCCTTGGGGTTCTTCTCTTTTACAAATTAGTTCATTTGCCATTTGTTGGCCTTACTGATGTTTTTTTTTTTTACATTTAGTTATTTTAATCTAGCAATATTATTAAATTGCTTCATGTTGTCCTATTTTCATTGGTTGATAATAAAATCTATTCTACTAAAAAAATTACATGATAAAGAACTTTTCTTGCTCTATTTTTTGCATCTCATAATTTTTATTGGAAACCCTAACTCTTGAATATCTTCATTAAATCCTAATTCTCATTCATCATGAAGTTTCTACACTAAAAATAAATCCTTAGACCTCATAAAAAATGATAACCCTAGATAGGTTTTTTTATTGTTACCAAAAGCTTAAAGGCTTCCAAAAAAACCCAACACATAAAGCATACATTATCCTATTAATTTCATTTTGTATCACAATACTTGTGTATTATGTTATTTTATTAATTTAGGTCAGCATAATATATTCAGTGGTTTAGCATGCCTCAAATAACTGATTTTTTTATAATTTATCTTTATACTAAAATTTGTCTTCTAAGATAAAAAATGTTTAAACTTTAGGGTGGCTCTTTAAAAAATGCTAAAAACTCCACAACCAATATGTCAGGCATCATCTTTTCTAAGCTAACTGTACATACACTTTTAGTGACATATAGAATATATAGCATTCAAAAAGAGAAAAAAACCAAAAAGATCCTCCAATAATCTCTTAAGGACCAAAATGGTCTTAGGCTATGTAAAAGTCCCAATCTAGTTCACAAACTCTTTAAACAAGAACCAAAATGGTACCGCCATCCAAACAAAAGAAAATTGGAATTAGCGGTGTTAAAAAATGGGGGAATTTTTGGAAAATATTTTTTCTTGAATTTTTAAGTATTAATTTTATACTTACTAATTTTCTCGTATACAACACATAATCTCATGTACAAGCAAAAGTAGATTGAAATTATATGGGGAACAGAGCAAGTTGATTTTTTGCAATAAATTCATTTAACATATCTATTTTTTTATTACAAGGTAATGTAATAAATTGCATTTATGTTTTTTTATTCCTAAAAGTATAAATTTAAAATTTGTATATTAATTTTATTGAAATTGATTTTTTTAGAGAGAATAAAACTTATATATTTGTAGTTAAATTTTAATTTGTTTAGAACTAACTCACGATCTTTTATTAATTAAAATCATTTTTTAGAAAGAACTTTTTTTGCTTTACTTGAAATCTTTTTTCTTTTTTTTTTTGAAAGAACAAAATATATTTTCAAATGTTTAATTTATTTTACATTACAATGAAATATTATTGAAGTAAAAAAATCAAATTAAACATTATAGATTGCAAATCAATAAAATTAATATGAAAATAAAAGAAGAAAAAATCTATTTATTAGTTATTGCCACTAGGGAAGAAGCAGCACCTACTCCTATTCATCACTACATGCGAGGCAAGTGGGGTGCGATCTTCACACATCAATGTTTAAAATTGCGTATTCGGGTATTGAGGCGTTTTTCATTCGTGAGGCGAGGCGTAAGCCTCAAAATCAAAAGATTGCGTAAACATAAAATGATAAATTTTTTATATACTAATGAGTGCATAATATAAAACATAAAAAAGCATAAGATATGAAGTGAAATCAAAATATACCAATAATTAGACAACATGAAATATAGTTCAACTCAAAATTCTATCTTTCCCAAATCTCAGTATTCTTTTCATTAACATATAATTCCAATTTCTAAAAATAAATAGCAATGACATATCAAATAAGAACTCATAAGTTATCAGCACTGTCATCACTAAGGGGTTCTTCATTTGAATCATCATTATGATGAACTGCTCTCTCCCCTTCCTCCTCTCCTATAGAGTCCAATGTTGGGCATTTACTTCAAGATTTATGTAAGTTTTAATATATATAGCGTGAGGCGTAAGCCCATGCCAGTGAGGCGAGACGGGCCTTAAGGCGAGCCTCAACCAAGTTGAGGCGCAAGCCTCATAAAAAAAAAACTCGAGGCGTAAGCATCGAGGCATTTTTTACTGGAATTGCGCAAAGACGGACCTCATATTGCGCAATTTTAAACCATGTCACACATCTTTGTTATTATGCTGCTATTAAAGGGGAATTTTCATCCGCTCCTCACTCTTTTACTTGGGGAAGCTTCGACGAGTGAGGAAAATTGAGTGATAGTCTCACGCATCTGACACCCAACAAAAAAAGTTCATTGCAGCTCTCCCACCTTCTCCAACACTATTCAATAATCCTACTTGTCGCCTACTCTTTGTCTCGTGCTAGCCTCTCCATCTCAACAAGAGTAGCAAAATAACACAAAAAAAAAACAAATATTAAATTCTAAAAATACCCTAAGAGTTAGCACATGCTCCGTGAGTTCTCTGTCGAAACAATAGATTTATCATTAATTTTAACCTCCAATTTGAACAATGGGACCATTTCGGTCCCCGTTAAATGAGTTTGTGGACTAAGTTGGCCATTTTACATAGTCTAGGACCATATTGGTCCACAAATAGTTGATGATAGATCCTTCTCATTCAAAAGAAATATTTCACTCAAAACAATAAATTTAAATTGCTTGACAATATTGAAATCATTCATAAATTGTTTAAGTGCCCAAAGAAAAGCCAAATTAGGTTATGGTTTACAGCTCGAACTAACATATTGAAAATATAACTTAACAATTAAAAGGATAGGTTTAAAATATAAGAGTAGGACTATGAGCTCACCTATTTCCGTAGTAGTGGACTTATTCCCCTTCACAGATCTGCACGAGCAAATTACCAAAACAGTAATAACAACAACAACTAGAAGTGCAGCACAGATGCCCACAATTATAGTTAGATTTCGATGGTTTTCACTATTAGCTTCATCATTTGGCTTGTGAAAATAGGACATAGAGGGCGGTGGAGACTTTGGCAGGATTACAAGGGCCGGAGCTGGAAGAAAAAAAAGAGGTAGCCAAAGAATTCATATCATTAGCAGAACACACTAGATCAAACAAAAAGAATAGAAAATAATGTAACAAATAAAGGCATGGCTTGATATGACAGATACATAGCTGTAACTAAGCATTAATTCTAAATTCTTTATTCTTAAGTTGAAGCTTTCTAAAGCACCTGCTTATTGAGAAAATAAAAGATGAAAACAAGAAAAATTCCACTGTTTTAACACTGAAAGTGTCTTAAACATGGCTAGCTAACAAAACTACAAACGCAGATAACTACATATCATGTTAAAATATAAGCTATAAATTTTTTCGAGATGCACAATATTAGAATTTGATGACCATATAATTTTATCAAGACAAGAACAAAATTTTTATAAACAATTTTAAAATAAATATTAAATATCCTTTTTTCTTTCTTTTCTTTAATGAAATAAAGTTGAAAATTTGTTACAAAAATTATTATTTTAAAGAGCCACGTTAATATTTAAACCCGATTTTTTATAGAATTGTTGATGCATAAAATAGTGGTAGTTGCTAGAGGGAAAAAAAAGAGAGAGCAAGCAGGCTCAAGGAAAAAAAAAAAGAAAAAGTGATAGAAATTTTTTGGGCAGCTCAATTTATTGTGGCAGTAGAGAATTGTCTTTAAATAGTGCAAGCAAGATTGTCCCTAAAATAATTCATTAAGTGATAATATCCTTTTGAGGATCATTCAAGTGGAGAATTTTTTGGAACTTTTTGATCTTTTATGTTTGTCATCTCTCTTCTAGGATAATCTTGTATTTCTGGTTAAAAGATTAGGGATTTCCTTTCGTGGTGAGATTGGGTTCCTTGAATTTGGGGAAGAGTAATTTCTCCAGTTTATTTGCATTTGTTAGATGGGAAACATAATTGTAAAAGACTATTTTTACTCAATTGTCTTCATACTACAAGCATATATAAAGGTAAGAGATGAGAACAATAAATAATAATAATAATAGATCTAGTGGTGGGATTGTGGTATTGGGTGATCAAATCATAAAAAAGAGTACACATTTTAGATATCTCGGGTCTATCATTCAAAGCGATGGTGAACTAGATGGCGATATTATCAGTAGAATTCAAGTTGGATGGATAAAGTAGAGGAATGCATCAGGCCTGTTGTGTGCTAGAAAAGAACCCCTCAAACTTATCGAAAAATTTTATAAGATGGTGGTGCAACTTGCAATGCTTAATGACACAGAATGATGGCCATTAAAAGAGAACCATAAATTAAGTGTTGCAGAGATGAGGATGGATGAGTGGCTTTACACATAGAGAGAGAATGTAAAACAACTACATACATGAAATGGTTAAAGTAACTCCAAAGTAACTCCAATGATATATAAGATTAGAGAGAGCCACCTTAGATGGTTTGGTCACATAAAGCATTGGCTTGTCGATGATCCAGTTAGGAGAGTAGATGTATTAAATTCGGCCTATATTAATAAAGTAGAGGAAGGCCTAAAAAGACATGGTTAGAAAGTATCATAAATGACTTTTTTATCAGATTTAAATAAGAAGATTCTTAATAGGACACAATGAAGAAAATGGCTTCACGTAGTTGAACCCACGTAGTAAAGGCTTGTTGTTGTTGATGATGTTATCTTCTACATGCTAGAAGCATAGATGTGCTTATATAAAGGCAAAAGATAATAACAATGAAAATATATATAATAAAGAAGAATATCCTCAATGATGAGGAAATATTACTAGTGTAGACTCTTATTATAAATAATTAAATCAACATATAATTTAGATATCGTAAAACTGTCCCACAAACTCAAAATGGCACAAGAACAATGTCAAAGAAGATGTGATAAGATAAGGAATCGATAGAGGGCATCAATGGAGGTATCAAAGAAGAGATTTGACATAATAAGAACCAAAAACACAAAAGTACTTATCAATGTAGAACAGTAAATTATAGAGATATAAAGAGCTATAGGAAATAGAGAAGGCGAAGTGTCTCAATGGTTAACAACAGAGACAAGGATCACAAGGACAAGATAGTAGGACATAAATAAGTTATAGTTATAGGGAAGTGTGAAAGCAGGTAAATAGAGCTTGGATGTTTGAGGAGTGGCATGGTCAATAAGGTTTTTAGAGAATCGATAGAATTCTATGCAATGGCTTTGATACCATGTTTGAAATGAGAGAATTATAATAGGCTACGTCATTACTCAAATGCCTTTTTAGAACAAGCATATGAGCATATCTGTGTGTATACACACACATACCAGGAAAATAAGAGAATAATAAAAAATATAATAAAGAAAACATCCTCAAAAATGAAAATATATAATAATAAATAACACATATTAATAATATAAATAATTTAGAATATGTGCTGGCTCAAATTCTTTAGCAATACATATATATGACATCCCTATAGAATATGTGATTACTCAAACTCATATCGCTTCTTTTGTGGGAATAGATTAATTTTAAATGGACCACATAAATCTAGATGTCTTCTTATGGTGCATGATCTCATTATTATTGCTTTGTGAGTTCATTATGTTCTCTCTTGACAAGAGTTTCCACATAAAGAAGTTATGATTTTCCAAAGAATATATATAATAGTAATGAAGCATGAGATCGAAAAATTTTAATAGCTCAAAGGATTGAGTTTTAGAAAAGAAAAACGTGAAGTGTGTTAATCTAAAAAGAGGTTATAAAAGCACTAATGGGACATTCAAATATGTCAAAGACTAATAAAAAAAGAAGATAAAGTATACATAAACCCTTGATAATCCAGCTACACTTGGCAAAGGACATGGAGAAAAAAACTAGGAGAAACTATGATTCTAGATTGAGCCTTTGTACATGACCAAAAATCCTCCAATAAACTTCATTAGAAACAAAGGATGTATTTTCCTCGTAAGCAAGAAAATACTCTGATTAAATCACATTCAAATGGGTTTAATTTTCTTATTAGATATTTATGGAATACAAATATGATGGTTGATGCTTAGGATTAAGCCTTATTACTCTCATGCATTTTAGCTCTATCTTATAAACATTTCCTATACACCAAGTTATATGGCAAAGATATTATTAGCATAGAAGTTGTTAAGACCTCAATTCATTCTAAGGATATAGGAGATGAAAACATGGCTTATTATTAGTTAAGGGGAGACTTTTTAAAATGTCTATCTCTAATAAAGGAAAAAATAAATTTCATAATGGATACAAAAATATATCATGCTTCTATCATAAAAAGAAGTAACACAAAACGAAAAAATTGCCGGACTTCAAAAACAAAACCATCACATGCCAATGCAAAAACAAGGAATATAAATTAACAAATAAAAGTGCTATTGTAGTGATTAATCAAGAGTAGATTTAGATGTTGTTATAATAACTATTGAAGACAAATGAAATGATTAGTAAAACACGGATTTAGTTTCTCCATATCATTATAAAGAATTATTTTGTAGTTTCAAGTAATATGCTACTGGCTATTTTAAATGGGAAGCAAATCAATGCAAAAGAGTTGATTTTAGCATTATATACAATACAAGATAATGTGACTAGATCATCTACGCAAGTCAAACATGCACTAGACCTCAAGAGAAATTGTCTTTAAATGCTTTTAGAGAAGAAAGATGAAATTTTTAGTACATGAAGTCCTTAACATTTTCATAGGTGCATTGATTATCATAAATGCGGAGAGAACTGAAATTTTTTGTATTCTAAGTGAATGAAGTTGCTTCAATTTCATCATTTACGTTGAAGTAACATAATTTGGGAACAGAAAAAAGCAGACTTCTTGGTTGCAAGTCAGATTCTAGAACAAAAAAGGGCATAGGTTGGCTGAAGGACCATTGAAGATGATTAGGTCGATCAATCCCATATTTCAATTTATCATAATGCCAAGTCATAGCAATGCAACATTTGAGGTAACAACAGAATCAATTTAAAGATACGAAAATTAAATGGATGCAGCAATTTTGGTACAAGTAGATCCATATTGATGTGTAATATTGATGTAGACAAAGGGGGGTTCAACTCATGTCCAAAATAAATCAATTTTGGCCTCCCTCGAGTTTACAAGCTCAATAAAATTTCAGCTGGAATTTAGCTCATTTATGAGCTGATTTTTAGTTCATTTATTGAACTAAGAGTTAGCTCATTATTAGCTAGGTTTTAGTTCATTTATTATCGTATTTATTTAGCTTTTTATTTTTTGTTTTATCTTAAATTAAAGTTGTATCTTGGGATTCCAAAATGGCTTTTGGAATCCCAAGATTTGTTTTTTTTTCCCATGCCTTGGCTCCTTGGCTTCCGCGGGTGGCTGATTTACGTGCATTGTCTCCTTGGTTCCCACGGTGGTTGTTGGTTTTCCGAGCCTGGGTGTTTTCCCGTGGCTTTGGCGCCTTGGTTCCGTGCGGCCTCCTTGGCTCCCGCGGCTGCTCCTTCGGTTCCTTGGCTTGAGCTGTTTTTCCGTGAAAAGCAATTAGGTTTTTAATATTTGTGATGTTTGGAATTCCTATGTGAATTCATTGTTTGTGTCATTTGGTATTCCCCTTTCATACCTATATATATGGGGGGTTATGTAATGTTTAAAAGAAGTGAATGACATGTGATTTTTGAAAATGCAAACCTGCGGGTTTCATTGGAAAAGCTTGCGAGCTTTGTCCACTTCTTCTTCTCATCCCCTCCGAAAATTTTGCGAGCTCTTTCCAACCTTTCGTCTTGGCTTCTAACCTCTTTCGTCTCTCCGCAAGTGCCACTCCATCTGTATCTTTCTTCCAAGTGCAGCAACTTTAGGGTGTCGTCTTAATTTTTAAGTTTGCAAGTCGTCGTCGTTTGTAATTTTTTAATTTCTTCTTTTTAGTTTAATTTGAAATGTAAGAGTTTGTTCTTCCTCATCTTAGTCTTCATCTTTGTTTCATGGCTTAGTCGTCGTCGTGTCGGTTTTATCACTCGTGCGAGCGAGGGGTATAGGCTCCCTATATTTCTTGCCCC